ATGTACATGTACCACCTTCATATGAGGAATGCAAACACTATGTACTGCAAATATGCACTAATAGAAACAGGAGACATTATGTTTAGATTGCTCTAAAAGAGGCTGTAACTTAACACTGTGCTAAGGGTTGCTTTTTGCAGAGCACAAGGGGACTGCTTGATCTGTAGGCACAGGAATCATGGAAAAAAATGTTAGGGGTTACAAGTGGGTAAAGAAGCTAACCTCCTATATAGTGTATGTGTTGACTCCTAGGAATATAAATTTTTAACTCAGAAGGAAGATCTTACGTGAGTGCCAAACATACTCTACAGTTTACACATTTTGGAACGATAAAGTCTTAGCAATAAAAGCTTTGTGCTTTATCATATTACTCAAATGAAATGATGAATTTTCATTATTACTTGGACAATAAGAGAAAATATGTATATTTTTTCTGAAATGAAAAATTATCAAACTTCCAGGAGTTGGGAAGATGGGTGTTCTATCATTGCAGAAATCTGGAGAATGTGCCAAGTTTCTTTCAATGACTTTTCCACAATTTAACCTCTGAGTGGCTCCTCTTTCCTAATGTAAACCAGATCTGTTTTATGTCTTTTTCTTTTCATAAATGTATAATGTTTTGCTTTCCTTAAGCAGTCTTCTTTGACACAATCTGCTCATCTTTCTGGGTATTTACTGGAGCACTGATATGGTTCAAAGCCATATTATCTTGGTGAATTTTCTAATGGTGTCAAAGGACGAAAATCATACAAAAGCAAAGAGAATGAAATAAGACATGGTGTAATTCTAAGTCAATTCTTGTATGAGATTTGATGGAGAAAACTCATTCAAAAGTAACAGAGGCCCACACACTGGTTCATGCACAATTACTGCCACTAAAATTCATAATCTTTGTTACATCTAGACCATGTCTCTTATTTCAGGGCACCTTTGTGGAGTTCTGAGCTTACAGTTAGGCTCTTTGCAGCTTACATAAAAACTCAGTTTTTAAAATTGGTCATTACTGTCTGTTATTTTCAAATTTGTTTTCAGTTCCACTGATGCCACTAAGAAATGAATAAGTCCTGTGAAAGTCAGAAGAAAGTCCTGTGATTCACTTACTCTCTTGAAAATTTCTAATTGATGATTTTCTGACTCAATGTGATCCTAAATATAAAATTTGAGATAACAATAGGACTTTGACCACTAATGTAAGGCCATCTTTTTGATAGAGTTGCATTTATTTTAATGATATATTACCTGAAAAGGTTGTCCTAGGAAATTGGACTTCAGCCTGACTTAAATGCATCCAACTGTTCTCACTAGACTTCATTATAATATTTTTTGGGCCAATGGAAAGATAAAACAATTACTTGTTACTAGTTTCATAAAATCAGTGATTTTTTAATCAGAACCTTTTACGTATAAATAAGCATTAGCAGAGTAGTGCAGCAGAATTGTGCAGGGCCCATAATATGAGCAAAACAGTTGTCTCTAGGGTTTGGTTTTTTGGGGGGTTTTTTGTATTTTTTAGGGAAGGGTCTACAGGGTATTCAGGGTCTCACTGCTAGATCAGAATCATAGTGATCCGCCTGTTTACAGCCTCCCAAGAGCTGGGATTACAGGCGCGCGCCACCACATCCAGTCTCAACTGCTATCTCAGTGCGTCCCAGGGGCAGGGCCAGCATGGCAGGCCTGAGGATCGAATCCCCAGCCCCTGTGCCAGCTTGCAGGTGTTTTAATATGCTGAGCTATTTGGCTGGCCCTGTCTCTAGTTTTCATATGATGCTTTGTTTCTTTCTTTCAGTGGTTATTTTGACCAAATGCTATATTTAATCAAATGTTAAGCTTTATTATTCTAATGAGCTCTCCATTAAGAACACCAGTCTAAGTACAGTTACTCTCAAGTATGGATGGTTTTGATGACAGCCAATGTGGAACTGATAGTTTAGCTCATTTTACTACAGGTGAATTTGCTAATCAAACCAGGACAGTAGTATACACATGCAGCTGCAGATGAAATGGGGCATTTCCTTTCAAGCTTATGTGTTTCTAACCATGGAGCTATCATCAGGCAGTCATCATCCTGCAGGCAAATGGGAGCCCAAGCATCACTGGAAGCCTTAGCCCTAGAAATAGGCTATTCCAGAGTGAATGGTACCAGCCCAGAAGTAAATGTCCAGAGTAGCCTAAAGTTGATTCCAATGTAAGAATTAGCAGAGTAGTGCAGCAGAATTGTGCAGGGCCCATAATATGAGCAAAACAGTTGTCTCTAGGGTTTGGTTTTTTGGGGGTTTTTTTGTATTTTTTAGGGAAGGGTCTACAGGGTATTCAGGGTCTCACTGCTAGATCAGAATCATAGTGATCCGCCTGTTTACAGCCTCCCAAGAGCTGGGATTACAGGCGCGCGCCACCACATCCAGTCTCAACTGCTATCTCAGTGTGTCTTGGGCTTCTTTCAACAATTGAAAGGGTCCGTCCCAAAGGTTCTCAAATTGATCAAAAAGCAAATCCCTACCACTGCCACCTGCTCTAGGCAGACTTCAGAATAATGGTCATAAAAGACACTTCACTCCGAGTGAGAAAGTTAGGAGTCCCTGTAGGCTGACATGTACCAGCCTGAGAGAGTTCAAATGCTAACAGAGCAAGGAAAGTTGCAGAAGAGGGAAGACCTGATTTTCTTTCATTTCTTGCCCTCCTCACTTGCCCTGAGAGTCTCATGATGAAACTGCCTAAACTCCTATTTAACCAGGAAGATGAGCATGACCATAGAGAACACAGACATGAGCTATAGCGAAAGTGCAGGAAAAGCAGACATAGGAAAAAGACAGGGACTAAATCACTTTCTCATTCTTACCTATAAGTTATTACAATACCGGAAGGTCACACCTTCCTTCCTTATTCATTCTCAGGCTAAAGTTAGTTCTATCTGGGAACCTTTTTCTACCAGAAATATTATGTTTCCTAAGCCTGAAAGTGAGGGTCTGATTCTTCACTAAATAACATGTATGTGGTATGATTGTTGTTAAATTCAGTTTCTGGTTCAGTACTGAGTACCTATAGTGTACCTGTACTATACCCATGCACTAGGATTGGGAAAAATTTTTCTACACGGGGTTAGAGCTTATAAAGCGTTGTGGGTTGTGTCAGTGCCAACAATTCAATTCTCCCTTTATGATGTAAAAAGTCATAGACAAAACAGTAATGGATGTGTATGGGCTTTGGTCCAATAAAACTTTATGAGGTATGTATGAAAACACATTTGGACTTGGCCTACTGGGCATCATTTATTGACCCTTGTGCTATATCTGGAGTAGATTCCTAACATATGTAATGTCAGATATTCTTAATGATCCCATGTAATTGGCCCCAGTTATTTCAATTTTGAAGACAAAAAATGAAGTTCAGAGAGGTTGAAAAATATGTCTAATGTTTCATTGCAAACAGAAGACAAAGCAAGCATATGAATCTTTACAACTTCTTTCCTGTTATAATCTAAGGGGGACTTTGTACTACCCTGTGGCTACAAACAACCATGATTATTCTATTAAATATCAGTTTTGATAAAAATCTTTCTGAGGTTTTGGTGGAACCAGCTATGGTTCTACATAGAAAAATGACATAACTATATAGAATGGAAGGTCTCTCGAGCCAGGAGAGCTACTTGCCAATGAACTGATGGTTTCAGCTGATTTGTCTCTATTCCCAGCTGTCTTTCTGACTCCCCTCATCACTTCTTTCTGGTACTCAGTTTTAGCTTCCAGTGTTCATTATATGTATTGCTATATTACAGGATGAATTGAGATTGCCAAGTTAAACCAGACAACATGGTAAACCAATCTGAGATTAGTAGGTTTTAGCCTTTGTATAGGGTACATGCTTCTTTTCTGTATTTGAGTGAACCTTGTGAACTTGCCGCATTCGTAGGTCAAAGAGGTAGTTTCAGATGGTCCAAGCTAATCATAGAGAGCATAGACCCTGAGATACACATTTTATCTGATACCCATGAGATTTTTCTTCTGTTTACTTCACAGTTCATTGAAGAGCTGCAGATGATTAAGGCAGCAGAACGTGAGCTGCCAAAAAGGTGAGCTATGATATAATAATCTCTAAAATTCATTGCGTTCTATAATGCCAGGGTCAGCAGGCCAGAGTGAGTTAGACTACCTTTCTGTCAGTCACCTTTAGACTGAAATAGCTCTCATCTCTGCTTTTGAAAATTAATTTTTTCAGGAGCTTTTGCAAAATTAGCTCCACAAGCCTCCTAGTTAGTGATACAAAATGATCATATAGGCCTACTAGATTTACAAGAATGTGAATGATCTCAGTGGGATGAAATAGACATGAGACAGAAACATGGAAATAGGAAAAATAACTCTCAGGACTCTGCAGATATTAGAACGTTTACTTAAAGCAGGGATTCATCAAAAGCTACTAGGAAGGTTAACATACACTCCTCTCAGTTCCAGATTGGTATTATTTTCTAAGGGCTTTGTGTAAGTATGCATGCAAATCTATATTTATGCTTTCATATGGCTGATTCATTTTCACTTATGCTATAAGCAAAATTAATCAACTTTATAAAATAAGAAAACTAAGAGACAAGGAAGATGTGTTATTTCCAGAATCAAACAACTGGGACTAGGAGTAAACAATGGAAGACTTCAGGTGATCCCTGAAGATTAGGAATTGGTATAAATAAAGTTCTGCATGGGCATGCTAGCACGCGCCTGTAATCCCAGAATTTGGGAGGCTGTGGCAGGAGCATCCCAATGAGTTTGAGGCCAACGTGGGCTACCTAGTGAATTCAAGGCCAACCTGAACTACATAAAGAGAACCAGTCTCAAATAAAATAAAATATAAAATAATAGAAATAGAAATTAATGAAACAGGCTGATAAACCTGTAGCATAATTAATTCCACAAGAAAATAAAACTGTTCAGCTCTGTGGACACTTACACATTTTGCTGTAAATCTATAGAAAGTTCATCTTAATTAGTTTAAAAATATTTAATGCTTACCTTGTTTTCCACCTGGACACTGTCACCTTCCCCAAGCACTGCTGTGTGATGAGGTTCTATTTTTTGTTGCTCATCATCAGGCCCTAGAAAAAGGGTGACCCACTACCTTTAATACTTAAGATGGTGTATTCATCCTACAGTTACAAATTTGATTAAATGCTTAGCACCATAGTATTAGTTTCAATTTCAGAGCTAACAGACTCAGAATCTCCCTAAATCTTAGTCAATTCTCTCTGCTATTATTGAAGTCTAAAACTGGTTGGTGTTCAGTGCAACAAGGAACAGAGACATGAACTTGCATTGTGTTCTCATTTGCACTTTAAATGGCATGCTCTAATAGTTCAATGGACAGGAAATGAGCTTGGCATTACATATCATATGAGTGTATCCTTATGTAAATTATAAACATCATAGGAAGGTGAGAATGTGATCTAGAGCTATATCCTGTGTTCATAGAACACAGGACCAACACTTAGAACAGTGCAGCATCTGAGAACTGCTACAACCACCCTGCAAAACAACTCAGGAATGACAACCTCATAACCATTACAGGTTTTGATGGTAATATTATCCCATCAAGGAATATTGAGTCAAGGGCTCAGATGTGGAACTTCTGCTGATGCCACTCCAAACTTTTAAGAACTTAGGAGGGAGGGAGTCAGGGCCAGAGAGATGGCTTAGTAGAATAAGCGCTTCTCTGGCAAGCGCAAGTTCCTGAGTTCAATCCCCAGTTCTGTCAAAAAGCAAAACAAAACACAAAACAACTTAGGAGGACTCTGAGTGGCCTGTAGGAAGCAGAACAGCTGCAATCTGTGGGCCCAGCTGTAGCAGGCACTAAGCTTTCTTTAATCCATTTAAGAACTTTGGCAGACTTTGGGCATATTTGAAGCTTTAAAAATGCCAAAACACAGTAGCAAAAGGCAATCTCAATCCTCTAGTTCACCCAGAACAAATCCAGGAGACAAGAACATACAAGAACTTGGAAATCATGCACATGAAATTTCTGAAATGATCAAAATGGAAGTAAAGAAACAAATCCATCTACATCACTAGCCATCCATGAAATGCAAATTAAAACAACACTGAGTTACCATCTCACCCCACAAAGAATGGCTATCGTGAACAAATCAACTATAACAAACATTGGAGAGGCTATGGGAAAAAAGGAACCCTTCTCCACTGCTGATGGGAATGTAGACTGGTACAACCATTATGGAAATCAGTGTGGAGACTCCTTAGAAAAGTTGGACAGGAAATTCCATTCAAACCAGCTATCCCCCTACTGGGAATTTTCCTGGAGGAACTGAAAACATCATAACATACTGATATATGTGTGCTTATGTTTATAGCGGCACAATCTGTGATATCCAAATCTTGGAAACAACCAAGATGCCTGTCACCTGAAGAATGGATGAAAAAGATGTGGTATTTTTATACAATGGACTATTACTCAGCTATAAAAAATGATAAACTCGGGGCCTTTATATTTAAGTGGATTCCACTTGAAGATATACACATAATCAAATTAAAACAGACCCACATGTGTAAATATAGTATAGTCTCCCTAATATGAGAACTCAAAAGAAGAAATAAAAATAGAAAGGTATGACACAATTAAAAGGAAAGCGAGAACTTAAGGATTAGACAACAAAAAGAGGGCAAGGAGAAAAGCTAGGAAACATGACAGGGACAAAGCCATAGTTTGATATGTACTAGATGGGTAAGGCAATGATCCTGAGAACCATCAGCAGGTTGTTGAAACTAGCAGTTACTTGGTCAGATTCTTACCCTGACTAACTATGTATGCTGATACCTGTGAACTGAGTGACTGCACCGAAGATAGCAATGTGTGATAGCAAGGTCAGGCTTAGAATGCCTGTCATTCTGGTCTTATAAACACATACTGCTTGTCATGACATATCAATTATGGCCAGACTGTATCTCAATTAAATGTTTTTTTAAAAGATGTTCCACCTTATGCCTAAGATGTTTTATATTCAGACAGACAGTGAGGTTAAACCCACCTGTTTATGTTGTAGGGCAATAATAAGCTTTTCTTCTGGAGGGTTAACAACCTAAGTTTGCACACCAAAATTTAGAGAAAAAGAAGGGGTGAAAGGATAGCCAACATTTTGGCACTAGCCTTTCGAGGTCAGTGAGGACTCAGGACATAGGAGAACCTGTACTATAACATCATGTAACTCAGTTGTGCTCCAAATTTTCTGATCAAGGAGATTATGGGGCCAAAGAGGAATGTGATCGGTGATGTAGTGTGTGCCTAAAGAGAGTCACATGGAGAGAAAACATTCTCTCAGGCTTTCTGAGAGAGCAAATTGGTCAAACAATGGCCGTGAGTCATCCACATGGCTGACACTAACAAAGGATCTGCAAAGTGTGGTACAGGATTTCAGGATAAGTCCTGAGGGGACTTGACAGATACAAAAGTTACATTTTTTTGGTTATATAGGTCTTGCGTTACCTTGGTCTTAACCATCCTGCTGGAAAGTGTAGAAACAAGGTATGAAAAGTTAAGCCATGTTTATATGCAGAGCTATGGAAGGCTCAAGTCATCAGACCCACATGTGGGGATTCGGACATTGCCAGTCTTGTGGATAATCCACTACTATTGTGAAGTACTGGAATATTTTGCTGAATTCATGCACCTAAAATCTTTGGATGACAATGGAATACCCATCTCTGACAAAACTGAACAAAATATGTGATATAAATGAAGGACAATTTTGTATCTGTATATACAAAATAGTTAAATAGATATATAGCTACTTTCTCCTAATTCAATAAGAAAGATCTGTACTAATAGTGTTTGGACAAGATATCATGTCTGCATCTTGTGCTATGAATGACTACACAAAGACAACAATATGCAATGTATTAATTGTTGTAACTTACCCACCAACCTGTTTTGGAGCTGTCACATTGTAATTTTTTCTCAATAAAATTAATTTAAAAAATCAGTGGTTAAAAAATTAAGTTAAAAGAAAAGTACTCAAAATTCAAAAAAAAAAAAAGAAAAAGAAAGAAATCCATCAGGTGATAGAAGAAATAAGAGCAGAAATAATGTCTCAAGTCCAAAAAGAAAGGACAATAATCATGAAAGAATTGCTCAGCAAAGCTAAAGACATAGAAAAATAGAGGAGAATAGAAAAACAGTGGAAACACTGAATGAACAATACAAGAAAGAATTAGAATGCATGAGATAAAGGCTGGCCAGATAGCTCAGCACACTAAAGTGCCCTCTTAGGCAGACACAAGGTCTGGGGTCCAATCCCTGGAATGTTGTGCCGACCCTTTCCCCGCGGAGCACTGAGACAGTGATTGAATTGGTGTTGTGGTGCACACTTGTAATCCCAGTGCTTGGGAGGCTGAAAATAGGAGAATCACTAGGAGTCTGATCTGTGTAGTGAAATTCCTGTAGACCTTGTACTAAAATACATTTAAAAAAGAGTGGGGTCAAGAATGTCATAATGTCAGAGGATTGTCCCACTACAATGTTGTATATAGTTAGATTTCTAAATTTCTCTTTAAAAATTTGTAATTCTTTTTTCACATTCTATAGGGATTAAAATTTAGAATAGCAATGACTTTTGGAAAATACCTGTTCCATGTTATGTCTAAGACATTTGATATTCACACAGTGATGTTAAGCTCAACTGCCTATGTTATATATAGGGTAATAATGTCATTAAGCTTCTCTTCTGGATGGTTAACAACCTAAGTTTGCAGACCAAAAAATAGAGAAAAAGAAGGGCTACAAGGATAGCCAATATTTTCTTCCTAGCCCTTCAAGGTCAGTGAGAACTCAGGACATAAGAGAACCTGTACTATAATATCTAGAACTCAGTAGTGTCCCAAATTTTCTGTCCAAGGAGATTATGAAGCCAGAGAGAAAAGTGATCAATGATGTATAGTGTGCCTAAGGAGAGTCACCTAGAGAGAAAACATTCTCTCAGGCTTTCACAGAGAGCAAATCGGTCAAGCAATGGCTGTGACTCATCCAGATGACTGACTTTGACAAAAGATCTACAAATTTCTGTACATGGTTTCAGGGTAAATCCTGAGGAGACTTGATTGACCTTGTCAGATACAAAAGTTACATTTTTTGTTATATAGGTCTTGCTTTATCTTTGTCTTAACCACCCAGCAGAAAAATATAACCACAAGGTATAAAAAGTAAAACCATTTTAATAAGCTGAGTTGCAAACAGCTCAAGTCAACAACTTCTGACATTGGCAGTTCTGCTGATAACCCACTACTATTTTTCCCATAATTTTATTGATAAACAAATAGCAATGAGACAGTTTCAAATCAAATTGGTAGGACAGTTTCAATAATAACACATTGCATACATTTTTCCTAGTGTTTCATTGCTATACAAAATGCAAACATGATATCCTATTTACAAACACCATTAGAATAAATCACTCTATTCATTAAGAGAATGTAACTATATATCTATCCTAACCATTTTGAATACACAGATCCAAAATGAACATTGATCTGTATTCCCTTTTTTGGTTAAGTTCCATTATTTGAATATTATAGATGTGTAAACTCAGCAAAATATTCTAAAAGAGTTCAGTAGCCCATAATAGTATTGAGTCTTCTGCTTGACTGGCAATGTCAGAAATTGTTGACCTGAGTCCCTTACAGCTCAACATAACAGCATGGCTTTACTTCTTATATTTCATTTTTATACTTTTCTGTTGGATGGTTAAGACCAAGGTAAAGCAGGACCTACGCAACAAGAGTTGTAGCTTTTGTAACCCACTACTATTGTGGACTATTCAACTATATTGTGTTATTTACCTAATGCACCCACCTACAATATTTGAATTACAATGGAACACCCATCTCTGACAAAACAAAACAAAAAAGAGGGATATAAATGAAGGACCATTTTGTAGTGGGAAATACATATCTGTATATACAAAATAGTTAGGATAGATACATTGCTACTTTCTCTTAGTTCAATGAGAAGAAAGATTTGTACTAATAGTGTTTAGGCAAGATATCATATCTGCATCTTGTACTCAGCAACCAGGAGTAGCTATCCTGGTTGCTG